CATCCTTCCCAGTTCAGCCTTCCCAGCTCAGCCCTCCAAGCTCTGCAGAGGTTCAACAGATGCCCCGGAGCATCCTCTGGGAAGAGAAGGTCATGGAGTGGCCCGGGATGGGGGTAAGCAAAGCTGCCCACACGTAGCCCCGCTATGTTTGGGGAATGGGGGATCTGGGATGTCCCCCAGCAGCCGGGAGCAGGGATCTGGGGCTGGATGTGTCCCTCCCGACATCCGATCCCCCTCCCTGCTCTCTCACACCTTTCTTCCCAGCAAAGGTGCTGCAATTGGAGCTGCCTGGAAGGAAGAGGCCGATATCTCCGAGTTTCCATAACTGGTTCCAGTTTAACAACTTCATAGCTGCCGTGGGGCCACAAAGGCAGCCTTGTCCCTGGGGCTGAGATAAGCCTGGGGGTGATTCATATGCAGATCCGGGTGGTACCGGGTGTCTGCTGGGAGAGGATAAATCTGTCCCGAGCCTTGTCCCCCCTCTCCCGGTTCCAAACTGTTTTACATTTACACAAAAACGGTTCTGTCCCCCACAGAGCTCCTGTCACCCTGCCTGGGAGGGAGGGGGTCCTCTGGAAGTGTGGGGTGTCCCCTGCCCGGGGGTTTTGTCCCCCACGTCTTCCCATGGCCCATCTTAGTGCCTTGAAAGAGTCACTTTCTTTGCCCTGCAGAAAGCTCTCAACCATGTCCCACCCGGGAGAAATCCCCTCCTTTCACTCCTTTTGTCTGGGCTTTTTGGTCAATGCTCATTTTTCTTAAAATAATAATAGAGAAGAGGGGTTTTTTTGCCCCTTTATCTCTTTTTGGTGGTAATATAGAACCTGTAAGCCCTGAGCCCACAGTACCCATCCCCCTGATGTGATGGCCCCCATCACCCCTGGGGTTGAGCTGGGGTTTGGGGTTTCCCATTGTGCTCCCAGCACAGGCTGGACCTGTATCCCTGCTAAGGTTCTGCCTGGCCTTTCAGTGGGGATGAATTGTAGGCAGGGCCTGTCCTGCTCTCCTGGTTTTGGCTGGGATAGAGTTAATTTTCTTCATGAAGCTGCCCTGGGTGATAACTCAGGGATGCTTTGGGCTGCAGAGGTATTTATCAGTGAGGTTGAGCTCCTGAGGGTGCATCCCTTGGGCTCTCAGCTCTGTGCTGGGGGGAGTTCTCCTTCCTCTGCAACAAAATCATCCCAGAGTTGAGGAATCACAAACCAATTAACTCTGGAAAGTTATGTCGGCCCGGTTTTTGAAGTCTGCTTTGATTCCCTGCCTGCCACGGCTGTTAATCAGTATTTAATGCATTTCTGCATTTTTATCATCATTTTATCTGCTGTAACTTCCTGCATGTTACCTCAGCAGAGGAAACATTTCACGTGTTGAATATCTCCGTGTAGGAAATTCCATCTCTGATGCCTCTCAAATGCCAGTCGTTTTATTAATTAAAAATCACAATTTATCAGCTTAATAGAAAGGTTAAAAGGGTTGTATCCCTCCTCCTGGGCACAGTCTCCTCTTGAAATCCCAACTCCTTCCAAGGCTGCCTGGGGCTCCCCCACTGCAGTGTCACATACCTGTAGGCACTGCCTGGTGTTCTCTTAAGGTCAGTAAGAATTAACTGCAAATTTAATTAAAGTTTCCAGTGTTTGCATTAAAGTGGGGCATAACAAAGCCCGCTCTGCTCTTTGCCAGTTTAAGCCAGATCTGGAGGGAGAGCGGGGTTATCAATAATTAACTGGGGTAATTTAGGGGAAAGTATTAGGGAGTTAATGATAATGTGAAATTGCGTAATTATCGCCCAAGTAGCTGGGGGTGATTGAGCTGCTCAGGAAGAGGAGGTGCTGCACAATTAAGTGCTTGGAGGCCCCTGTTCCCGACAGGATCCTGGGATGTTGGGACCCAGCTGTCCCTGCTGGGGGGCAGTTTGGGGGTGAAGGTCTCTGCACCCCAGCACAGGCACAGGGGCCGCAGCTCTGGGGGTGCCTGTGCAAACAGAGCTGCCCTGATGTGGGGTTTTATTAAATATTCTCTGTTAATTACATGGTGATTAAGCCTTGGATGGTGTGGTTGGTGTTAATTAAGGTAGGTGCAGCTCCCGGGAGCTGAGGAGCCCTGGGTCAGCAGGATGGGGGCAGGGAAGGTGCTGGTACTGCTGGGTGTGGGTGAGTGGGATCCTGGGGGGCTCTGGGGGTCCCTCTGCCCCACAGGCCCCTTAGGGATGGCCTTGGCACTGTGGGATCAGCTTGACCCTTGTTGTCCCTCTGCAAGAAGGAAGAGGGGGGTAAGAGAGGCTTTCCAGCTGTGGCTGCCCCATCCCTGGAAGTGTCCAAGGCCAGGTTGGACAGGGCTTGGAGCAACCTGGGCTAGTGGGAGGTGGAGGGTTTGGAGCACAGGCTGAGGAAAGCACTGCTGTGGCTTAGTGTGGACTCTCCAGGATGTCCCATCACGTCATCCCGAGTGTTTGCTGCTGATAATAAAAATTTTATTGCCCACTGAGGAGAGGGACTGGTTTAGGTCCTAAGCCCATGTTTGCTGAGAGGGTTTGGGGTGGGTGAGCAGGAGGAAGGAGCTGTTGTGCTGTGCAGAAATCCCAGTGGCCTCCAGGGAAGCGCTGCAGAGATGCCTCAGCAAGTTGCCGGGAGAAGCTGCAGGAAGCAGCTTGGAAAACCTTGTGGCACTTTCTGAATGTGACTGAGGATGCTTGGCTGGCAGGGGAGCCAGGCAGCAGGGAGGAGGTTTGCTCCCAGGCAGGGAGGAGGTGTGCTCCCAGTGGGTCCAGGGCTGTGCCGTTGGGTTTTCCTTGGTTATGGGCACAGCAGGGAGGGGACAGGTGTGGATGTGAGGGTCTGATCCTGGTTTGGGAAGGTGCTTCCCAGCAGGAACTCTATCAGTCAGCCTCTCTGGTAAGTGCTGCTATTTGGGGTGATGGGGAAAAGCTGCTGGAAATGACGGGGACCCACGGCTGCCCCAGGATTTAGGGACCTCTGGAAGGGCATCCCACTGGTGCCAATGGAGTGTTGCCAGGAGAGGACACCGGGAACAAGAAATGGCTCTAAAAACTGGCACTGTGCAAAAATTTACAAAATAAAAGGGGGGGGAAAGCCACAAGTGGCTTTTGCCTCTTGTCTGGGGGAGGGAGCTGTGCGGGGCCCAGCATCACTCACAAGTGCTTTTAATCAAGTGTTCTTTCCTGAGTCCAGGGGAAAAAATCCCAGAAACCTCAAGCTTTTCCCATTACATAAGGAACAGATGCTGCTGGGCAGAGCCCTGACTTCCCCCCAGCACAGCCTTGGCTGCAGCGTGGCCTGTCCCTGTCCCCAACTGCTGTGGGGACCCAGCTCCCTGCTGGGCACAGCCCTCCGAGCAGTGGGATGGGGATCCCAGGGAAGCTGTGCCTGCCCCATCCCTGCAAGTGTCCAAGGCCAGGTTGGATGGGGCTTGGAGCAACCTGGGCTAGTGGAAGGTGTCCCTGCCCATGGCAGGGGGTGGTACTGGATGGTCTTTAAGGTCCCTCCCCAAAGCATTCCAGAATTCTGTGATTTTTCTTGGAAGTGGAAGAGGGGGATGTGAAGAGCTCTGGGGCAGGTGCCTGTGCTGGTGGCAGGGAGGACCCGTTCTGTCACACAGGGTGACATGGCTGGGTAATTTCTCTGGTAATTAATGCCTCATTAAAGTGCACGAGGGAACAATCAGGGCAGTGAATTTCCCCCAGCACAATGGCTGGGCCCTCCGAGATTTCCTGCCTTTCTTTTTAGAAGGAAACTGTATTTTTCTGGCCTTAACTGCTCGCTGGCTGGGGGCAGAGGAGGAGGGAGCCCTGGGGGCATCTCCATCCCCAGCTACTGCTTGGGCATCACCCCTGTGATGGGATTTTGTTCTTTCCAGTCCCACGTGGTGGGTCAGCATCTCCAGGACATGAAATTTGCCTGGAGGCTGGGGAGGAAAACCAGTCCCGGCCCAAAACGTGTGTAGCGGGTCCTGGAGTGTCCTGGGAAGGGATTTTTGGATTGGGAAGGGGGTTGTGGGGAACCTCCAAGGGGGACCAACAGCCTGGATGTGCTGCTGGTGGGGCAGAGTGACAGGGAGTCCCTTCCCAGGGACAGACTCTGGAGGGGACAAAGGGGACACTGAGACAAGGTGAGCAGAATGGAGAGACCAGGACATGGGGACTCCTGGGAAGGAGTTTGAAGATGAGGAGGTGACCAGTGGGGTGTGACAAGGTGGTGTCCCTGGCTGGCAGGACAGAGGAAGGAGAGAGGGGGTTGTTGTTGGGAGGCCCCTGAGCATTTCTGGGCAGGTTTTGGGGCTTGTTCCTGCTCATCGTGGCATCAGGTCGGAGCAGCTGTGCTTTGAGCCCTGACCGTGCCCCTCTGTCTCCCCAGGAGCCTGATGCCAAGGACTCTGGAGGGGCAGATCACCATGGAGAAGACCCCCAGCTACTTTGTCACCAAGGAGGCCCCTCGGCGCATCTACAACATGTCCCGGGACACGAAGCTGATCGTGGTGGTTCGGAACCCGGTCACCAGGGCCATCTCGGACTACACACAGACCCTCTCCAAAAACCCCTCCATCCCCTCCTTCCAGGCCCTGGCCTTCAAAAACACCAGCACGGGACTGATTGACACGAGCTGGAGTGCGGTGAGGATCGGGATCTACGCCAAGCACCTGGACAACTGGCTGCAGTACTTCCCCCTCTCCAAATTCCTCTTCGTCAGCGGGGAGAGGCTCGTCAGCGACCCGGCGGGGGAGATGGGCCGTGTCCAGGACTTCCTGGGCCTGCAGAGGGTGGTGACGGACAAACATTTCTACTTCAATGAGACCAAGGGCTTCCCCTGCCTGAAGAAGCCCGAGGGCAGCAAACCCCGCTGCCTGGGCAAGTCCAAGGGGCGGCCCCACCCCAGGATCGACCCGCAGGTGGTGCAGCGCCTGCGCGAGTTCTACAGACCCTTCAACATGAAGTTCTACCAGATGACAGGGCAGGACTTTGGGTGGGACTGAGCCGCCCCCGGGGCACTCCACCACGCTGGGATCTGCTCTGCTCAGCACTGTTTGGAGCCAGGACTGCAATCCAGGGATGCTCCGGGCTGCCGGGGTCCAGGGATGCTCGTGGTCATTGTGGTCCAGGGATGCTCGTGGTCATTGTGGTCCAGGGATGCTCGTGGTCACTGTGGTCCAGGGATGCTCGTGGCTGCCACAATCCAGGAATGCTCATGGTCGTTGCCCAGGGATGCTCGTGGTCATCATGGTCCAGGGATGCTCGTGGTCATCGTGGTCCAGGGATGCTCGTGGTTGCCCCACCAGCAACCTCCTCCCTTCGTTCTAATTTATATCGGACCTTTTCTGGCAAGAAATGGACTTTTCTGGAGTAGAGAGAAATATTTAAGAGATAAAACCACAGATGGCCCCTCTCCCCACCCTGACCAGATTAAATATTCTTCCATATAAGTCTTGCTGATCTGTATTGACCGGGACTGTTCGGGTGGCGAGGGGGACGTGTGGGTGTGTGGATGGGGCTCTGTGTGTGTGTGGGGGGTGGATGGTGGATCCATCATCCATAATAAAACCTTTGGAAACCAGCTGGACTCTGGGGTGGGCGACCAGTGGGTTTTTGCTAAAGCAAATTCCAGTGCTGACACAGGCACTGAGGGCCCAGGGGTGGAGGGTGAGGCCCTCGAGCAGCAGCCCCTGAGCACGGGAGGTGTTTTGCAGATGGAATATGGTCTGTAGGAACTGCCTAGTTAAGAAAACAATTAACAGCAGTAATTTTGAATAAATGCCTGGTCGGGGTTAGGGAGAGGGAGTTGTGTATCACATCCTTTCCTATGTCCCTTGAGTAACCCAGCTGAGAGAGCAGAGCATTTCTGACCCTTAGGATGAAAATTGCTCATTCCCCCTAATTCCCAAGCAGAGCAGACAAAATCCCCAAACTCTGCCCTGTCAGCTCAATAATCTCAATAGATTTCTAAATCTGCAGCCATCGAGGGTCATCACAGGAGGCTGCAGAAATTAGTTGAATCTGTACTAACTAGTTTTCCCTTAATTAAAGATGGGGAAAACATTTAATTAACCTCTAATATCTTATTAGTGACTTGTATTTGTCTCTTTAACGAACTAATTATGTGTTTTGAAGGGCCCTCAGGCCCTGCATTGTTTGCAAATATGCTTTGGCTGTGGCTCCTTCCATTGTGCAGCATCCCAAAGCTGCCCATCCTGCCAAGGTGCCTCCCCTCCTGGCTGCTGCTGCCCGGGGTGATGGAGGCGGCAGGTCCCGCTTCTCCTGGGATGCACAACCACCCCCAGCCCCTTTCTTCCCACCTCCAGGGTGGAGTTACACCCACACATAGTGCTCTATTCCCCACAGCTCCCGTTTCCCAGCTGGCACCTCCGTTGTGCCCGTGGAGGTGACGGTGTTTTCTGTCCCAATGCTCCGGGCTGGAGCTGAGGTTGAACACGTTCCTGTTCAGCCCCAGGATGAGCGACACGTGCAGGGATGGGCTTAATGGAATGTCAGAGTTAAATGCAAACAGTGGCCTGTTTGTGGGGAACAGGGCATGGTGGTGACAATCCCTAAAGGTGTCAGGGGCACCAGGGACCAATGCAGATGTCACCAGTGTTGTGCCAGAGCCTGGGGGGGCTTTATGACCGGTGTAAACTGGGATATCGTCAGAGAGCAGCGGGAAGAGATGAAACCAGGACTGTTTTTGTGCTGGTTGAAGGCCCAGAGCCCTCTGAGCGATGCTGGGGTGGGCTCAGCACCCGTGGCCAGCGCAGGGACCCCTGGCCGTGTCCCCCCAGGACGGCGGTGGCCCGGCCCCCGCCCCGCCGGGGTGGGATGTCGGAGCGGCTGGAGCCCCTTGTCAGCCGCGCTGGCAGCTCCCCGTGATGGACTGCGCTCTGCTTGTTTAGGTTTTGTTTCCAGCCACGACATTCGACCAAATTATTCTCCGCCAAGGGCTTTAAAGTTTCCCAAGTGCCTGTGAAAGCCTGGAAACGCTGATAGTGATCCTATTTCTCAGCTCAGTGACTGCATTCAGCCCCAGCCATATTGATATGCAAAACGTTAAGGGTCCCGGCTCGAAAGATGGTTTCTGTCTGCCCTGTGAAAGGGAGCCATACTTTTTTAAAGCCCGGCCCTTTCTAAAGCCGCACAATACCATATAGACTATGCCATTTAAAGCATCTGAAGCGACCCAAAATGTATTGAAAGCTTGCTTTGCAGACTCATTAAGACTACTCAATAGGTTCTGGCAAATACCGTGCCAGGGCTGACCGCACGGATTAAGACTTTTGAAGTGTTACACAAACCCCCTGCTTAAACTAATTGCTGCCCCGCAGCTCATGAGGTCAAGTATTTTTATTCATTGCCTCCGAGAGGAGCCACTTATGGGTCTGTCCAGGTGAAGTCTGCACTTCATTAGATCAAGACAATAAAAGCAGCTTTGGCAGGAAGGGGATGAAATCTCCCGGCTCCTAAGAGCCAAGCACAGGCTTGTGTCCACCTCAGGCTTGTGTCCACCTCAGTTTTGGGGTGTTTCTGTTGCTTTCAAGAGCTCCAGCAGAGCAATGTGTGTCCGAAGTGGTTCAGTGCAGGCTGGTCACAACACCCATGTCCCACTCATGCTGTCCTTGGTGTGGGTCCACCCAGTGTCACGGGGGCTTCAAGGAGTCAGTGTTCTCCACTGGGATGCTTCATTCCCCAGGGTCACAGAATTCTGGAATGGTTTGGGTCAGAAGGGAACTTAAAGGTCATCCCATTCAACCCCCTGGATCTTCCTGCTCTAAACCTCTGGAAATAAAGTTGTAACAAGGTGATGCTGAGCTGTGCTGTTTCCTGGGGCAGAAGAGAGTCTGGGCAGTGATGTCCCCACATCTGCTTGCTCAGGGGTTGATGGCAAGACCCCCTGTGCTCATGGAGCTGGAAAAATGCCTCTGGAGCACCAGGTTAAATGGGGGAAATGTCAGAGCAAGAGGGTGATGGAGATCCAGCTTTGCAGCCAAGTGTGAAATGAAGCTTTCATCCCAGTCTCAGTTAACCAAAGTTTCCATTTCTAACCCCATTTTTGTTTTGAAAATCCAGCTATCCAAAGTGTTGTGGTTCCTGTGCTCTGGGCCTCCCCCTCCGTTCCAACTGCTCCATAAGCCAGGAAGAGCAGGGCTGAAAGAGCTTTCCAAAATTTTTATTTACTCCTTTTTCTTTCATACCGAATTTAGGAGGACAGAAGGGAAAGAACAAAAATAGGCAGGAAAAAAAAAAAGCTCTACAAGGAAGAAGTTAAAACTTCCCTGCTTTTGCGTGGGTCTGGAGATGAGGAGCAGCAGGGCTGATTTGTAATTACACATTTCATCTCGATGTGCTCTGGGAATGTTTATAACCTGCAACAGGGAAAGCCATGCTCTTCCCTCAAAGTGCCCATCTGTCCCCATTCCCTGCTCCCTGCATGGCTGCATCCATCCCACCCCACAGTCCCCAGGTGAGGCTCGTGCTGCTGGGGCCATGGGGCACCTGGGGGCTATAAAAGCTGGGAGGGAGGTAAATCCTGGGGGGATTGTGAAGCTCTGGAGGATGTAGAGGTTGTCCTGGCTTGGGGAGCAGGAGCTGGCACTGCCTGGTAAGGGGGGGCACTGCCAGGGGTGTGGGGCATCCTTCCTGCTGTTTTTGGGGGCTGCAGGGCCAGTGTGGTGTTTGGGATGGAGCAGTGTGGTTGTGCTCAGCCGTCATGAGAGAATGCCAAATTTTTTCTTTGATTAGAAACAGTAATATGTTGCCTTGTTTAACTAATTTATATTGTTAGGAAGAATAAATTGATACCTTTCTGGCCACACTCCCCTGGCAGGAGATGAGCCCCAGGCTCTAATCTTGTAGCCCTCATTGGTGTGGGGTAGAGGGAGATGTGTGGGATGGGGTAGTGCTGCTGCTGCTCCTTTTCCAGGGGCCATGGACACATGGAGCAGGCAGGAGGAGGAAGGTGGCTGGAGCCTTTGGGGCTGGTGAGTGGTGGGGCACTGAGGGATACCACAGCTCATTACATGAGGGACAGTGTTAGAGGGGAGAAATAGTGCTGGAGGGGCTGATCCAGCCTCGTTTCTCCCAGTTTCCTGTGGCTGGTGAGTGCTGGTGCAGATGATTAAACTGATGCTCCCATTGCCAGGCTGGCACAGCCGTGCCAGCTCTGCCCCACCACTGCCATCCATGCAGGCAGCTACTGCTCCAGTTATGCCTGAAGGGCAACAGGGGGGGAGTTTTCCCCTTTTTTCCCCTTTTGCTGTGAGTTCAAACTTCCATGTGATGGCAGGGGCTCATTGCTGGAGGACACCCCCCAGCACGCTGCCAGCGGGAAAGAAAGTGCGAGGGATGGAGGGCAGGAAACTGGGAAAGGCTTCTGGTGGGGATGGGAAAGGGGCTTGTGCAACAGCCAGCCTTTAATTAAGGGTCTTTAAAGAGCTTTCCCAGCTGGTTAACATTGCCTTGCCATATTGGAGTGGTTTAGAAGCAATGTTCTTCAGGAATGACTCCCTTCCTGCCAGCCCTGTGTGTGGGTGACGGGTTCCCCACCCCTCCTGGAAAACGGGGCAGAGAAAAATGGGGTGGAGGGCACAGGGAGCCCTCTGCCCTCCTTTCTCTGGCTTGGTTGTGACCCCCAAATATCTTTAAAGCAGCACCCAGAGCAGCTGGTGGGGAAATGCACTGGTGGCATCACTGGGTGCTGGAGGGGACAGTGTGGTCTCACACCCAAATGCTGGATTGGGAGTGCCTGCTCCAGCCCTGGAGGGATACTGGGGCCTGGAACCAGCCCTGGGGCTGTGGCTGGGTCATGGGGAGGTCTGGAGACAAATACAGGAGGTGGAAGCTCCCAAAGTACAGCAGCTCCTGCCTGGCAGCCATGGGACCCTGGGGCAGAGGTGATGGAGGTGCCGTGGGGCACCCAGGTATCCATTGGAGCTGATGGACCTGCCCCCTTTCTCCTACTGCAATAAACCTGCAGGAATGAGCTCCAGAG